TGGCGTGCTCTGGTCCATGGGGTCATGAAGAGTCGGACACAAGTAAACGACTAAACGAAAGGAAACATGTGAAAAAATATTTGACGTAGTGCTGAAACCTGAAGAGCTTATACAGTTAAACGCCAGATGACAAAATCGGGAGACAGTGTTCCATAACTGACTGCTATCACCAGAAAGAGCCTTTGGTATCCTGTCCACTCTGCCACTGAGTGATCAGGATAGGCCCAAAGATGGGCCTTTCTGAGTTACAATTACAATATGGTCAGATTCTTGTGGAAGGCAGCATTAGCAAGATACAACTATTCCATGAAAAGAGTTCTAAAATAAGTCAGCAATTGGTGGATGAATTGCCACAGATAGCCTCAGATACTTCTCAGCCCCCAAAAGTGTGTTTCAATGGCCTTGGATTGGTGAATTGTCACCAGAATCCGCATGGAGAGGCCTGAACTGTGCTGGCATGGCCAGTGTGTTAACACTGCATGGAGGAGTGTTAATGGCGAAGTGCATCGGGCACTATACCATCGTCTTGGATTGGTGAATCGTCACCATGAAATGAGCATGGCTCGACCGGAGTTATATATTAAGGACATTCGGGGGGGGGGGCTGCCTATGGAGCCTCAGAGGGTGATTGGCAGGCATGGGATTTAGTGTTGCTAGTCCCTATGCTGTGACGGGTAGTGAGTAAAACAGGGTTCGGTGAGCCCCCCCCTCACAACCTCAGTTAATGTATAGCTTATCTGATCTCCCAGTGTTGTGGATCCTGCGATTACAGTGCTTGAGGGGAGGATGATTGGCAGGCATGGGATTTAGCGTTGCTAGTCCCTATGCTGTGATAGGTAGTGAGTAAAACAGGTTTCGGTGAGCCCCCCTCACAACCTCAGTCAATGTATAGCTTATCTGATCTCCCAGTGCTGTGGATCCTGCGATTACAGTGCTTGAGGGAGAAGATCGGTTGGGGCCGCTCCCAGACTAACAGTCAACAAGAAGGAGGGGGCTTGAGGTCCGGGGGTGGTCTGATGTGGGCCAGCCGGGTTTTCGCTGTCTTCACGATTGTCGATCGGTTGGGGCCGCTCCCAGTCAACAAGAAGGAGGGGGCTTGAGGTCTGGGGGTGGTCTGATGTGGGCCAGTCGGGTTTTCGCTGTCTTCACGATTGCGAGAGCTTGGGGCTTGGGACTCACCCTTAATTTGGTAGGAGTCCGTTGAGACCCCTCTACAGAACCTGATTCCGCACTACAGCAGGACCTCCATGTCTTTATTCCAGGTTAGGAGGATAATGGACAGAACTGCACTGTTATATCTCTAATTCTGCTCTCCTGCTCTCCTAAATATGGGTGGATGCTTTTAAATCTTCCAGTATTCTTTTGAATAAACCATTTTGTGTGTGTGTGTGTGTGTGTGTTTGCAAAACATTCTAATCTATTTAATTCACCAATTTTATTGAGAAAGCAGCAAACTGAAATAACCCGTTTTAAGGTGAGTGAAATAGCTCTGAAATTATTTTTACCAGTTCAAGCCATCCAGAGTGGAATGTAGTGATTTTTCAGATTTACAACAGGTTTGGGTACTTGGAACTATACAGCTTGTTAATCAAGCTTAGATGTTCACGGCACTGAAAAGTAGACATGACATATTCAAACAGTACTACTGATGTTCAAATAGTACACAATACTAGAACAATATCTCTGTCATACTGATGTTATACTGATCTCTGTTATACTGATGAGCTACAGTTTTTGAGAAATACATTGACTGCTCAGTCATAATATATATATTTCTTTGCCACACACCAATATATTATGCCGAGTATTAGATCAACCATACCTCAAAAATAACAGAGACTTTGCTCAGGAAAAGAATTAATAAAGACTTCACTTGAATCAGATCTCATGTATCTAACTAATACAGTGGACTCCAATTTGCCATGTTTCTCTAGGCGTATGACAGAAATTTAATTAAATCAATATATCTCTCCACAAAGCTAGCTTTTCCTTTGTTGACACCTTAGTACTGCCTTCTTGACCATTAATATACTCAGTACTTCATCTCAAATAAATGTCAGAATTTGTAGCAGGCCCTATAATTAACGAGATTATTATACCAAAGGGAGATTTTTATGTCCTTTATCTTTGAAACAGAAACTTTTTTAAAACTATAGACATTCCGTGGATGGAGAACACAGTGTACACACTATATTTTGCTTTTTCCTAGCCTGTGGAAGTCCACATTCATATCTTTTGTTTTAAGGAAGGAGTAATAGTAATGAAATTCAATAATTGTGGAGAAGATGATAGTGAGCCAGGTAAAGGAAATAGCCAGAATCTTCTTGGTATTCACTGATGGTCTGCTTAGCTTGCTACAGTTAATTGCAGCTAATTGATGAACTACTATAGCACATCTTGGTTGTAAAATCAGATATATGACCAAGCATGTGATTGAGAGATGTGCCAGCACCTTGCCAAGTTGCTGTAATTAGCCATGGCAAGTTATACAAACCTGACGTGGATGTCAAGAGGATTCTGGTTAATACGTTGAACTTGAAAGGACATTTTGGGCCAGTTTTGAATATGAAGGTGGGAACATTCATCAGAAGCAGCAACCAAACATTCCTGAACAGAGTCTGGCGAAACGTCAGGAAGGACAACCTTCAGAACACGGCCAAAGAGCCCGAAAAACCCACAATAACCATTAGATCCCGGCCGTGAAAGCCTTCGCAAATACACAGAATACACTGTTGAATATGTTCACCAACGCTTGTTATTACTCTCTCATGAAAAAACATTGTATGTCCTCTGACACATAGCATTGGCAATGTGGAAGCTAAAGATAGTAGTACATTATCTCTAAAGAAACTGTATATGCTTCCTGCCATATGCTAGCAAAGGAGGGAAGGGCTATGTGATTCTCTCCTTGGATAATGATACCATATTTTAAATTTCTTCTTCACCCTAACTTGCTGGTACCTGAGATTAAATCTTTATTTTGCTCCTCCTCTCTTCATATACTGGAAATTTGAGTCCAAGTCACTTATTTCTCTATCACTTCCTTAATCTTGCTGGCTATTATTTTCCACATTACATGAAGGGACAAAGATAGGAAACAAATTCGCGTGCTTCTCTACAAATATGCTTGGAAATGTACTAGATGCAGAGGTTCAAAAAGTCATTTATTTATTTTGGACCACAGCTTCCAGAATTCTCCAGGCCACACAGGCACACCTAGGAATTATCGTCCAGCAGTTTTGATCAATCTCAGCCCTTAAGATCAACTAACTTGTCCTCAATAATTAACTGAAAAGTAGTAACACCTTCTTTATCTTGCCAGCATCAATGCCTCTGTTCAGTCCTGAAAATTTATATTAAGTAGTCTATTTGCACTAGACATGGGCACAAATTTTAAAAAGGCAATTAATTTTGATTCATGGTTTGTCAAGGTTGACAAATTATGATTTACAATTTTTCTGCTGAATCAATGAATCGATTTGTTGATCCATTTTGCCTTTAAAAGCCTTTAAAATGCTGCCCCTGGCACCTAGAGACAGAAAAGGTACAGAGAAACTTCCACTGACTATCCCCTACAAGCCCTCCAAGTTTGGTGAAATCTGAGTTTTGGGTATCTGAGTTATACACCAACAAAGTGGGTCACCCAGGAAAGCACCCTTTAGCAGCAGACTTGGGGACTGTAAAGGACAATGAGGTCAAGCTTCTCGGAAATTTTGGTGTCTCTCCCTGAATTTTGGTCACTCTAGGCGCCTGGGGGCCATTTGACAGCTCAACAAATAAAAAAAAATCACTAAAATTCATTGATTTGTGTTAGTCAGGGAGGAACACAAATAAGGATCAATGAATTAGCAATTCTTTTTATTATTTTTAAATTTATTTCTAAATTTGTGCCCATCCCTAATTAGCACTATAGCCTAATTTAGGTGTTATTATTCATAAGCTTGTAGCACATTCATGGGGAGCCAGGGAAGGTCTGCGAAGGAGGACGCCACGCATGACTACTTTAGGTTCCTAGGGGAAGTTTGTGAAAGAGCTGTAACCATGACTGGCTGAATGCAGGAGGTCCATGAAATCACATCCTCTAACACAGCAGTGAGATTTGGAACACTGTAGGCCAAAAAAAGAGTAATTTTTCCAAGCTCTGATTTCCTTTGTCTAAACTTCACCTATGTTCCACTCAATTCTTTTAGTCCTGAGCCTCTGTTTCCCCTTCTCGTCCTATAACATGAACTTTTTAGATAAGGAATACCCACATTTTATGTCCTTCACAGTACCTAGCACACAGCTGTTGCTAAATTTAGAAAAGGGTAACAACAGTTGTAGAGTATTATTATAAACAGCTAACAAAAGAATCAGACATTTTATATAAAACATGCCAATAGAACAACTATTAAGGAAACACTGATGCCAAATTATATCTTTATCTAGAAACAGGGATGTTCTCTCTACTTTCAGTGCGCACTGAGTTAATTTACTGCTATTAAAGTGCTGATCTCATCAATACACGGCACTCTTATTTTCCCATGTACTGTGACGAAAACAGAATTATCCTATGGGCTAGAATCCATCTTATTTTCTCATGCCTCACAAACTCAGAGAAATAAAATACATTATCCTTCTCGTCAGCTCTTTATTTTTATTTTTATTTTTCACAATGAGCAAGACACCATTTCTCCTGCCAAAATCCTTGAAGAATAACCTAGTTGAAACCGTTCTGCTCAGCTCTGATTTCCACTAAAGAATATGGTTAATATAGATTCTATTATCTTTCCTTCACACATCTATTATCTTTCCTTCCGAGATGGAGGAATGAGTGCTTGTGGCCTTTAGTGAAACATGATGGAGGGTATTGTACTGGTTTGGGGCTGCATTTCTGCCAGTGATGTTGGTGATATTGTCTGTATTGATGGGATCATGAATGCTGAAAAGATCAGACAGGTTTATTTCATCATGTCATTCCTTCTGGAAAGCACCTGATTGGGAATGGTTTTATTTTTCAGCATGAGAGTGATCCACAGCACACTACTAATGCAGCGAAATCATATTTGACAAGAAAAACAGCTGATAAAGCACCAACAGTCATGGGCAGACTTCCACAGAGTCCACACGTGAATATTACAGAGGCAGTATGGGATCATCTGGACAGAAAAAGAAATGGAAGACAATCTAAACTTAAAGAAGAACTCTGGGAAGTGCTGAAAGAAAACTGGTATAATATACCAAAAGATTACTTTAGAAATCTTCAGGACTGTCTCCTCAAAAGAGTTCAAGATGTGCTTAGTGCCAAGGGAGGTCACACTAAATACTGACTTTTGCCTGAAGAAGCCATTTTGTTCTCAAAAGTTGTGGTTTTTAAAATTTTGTGTACATATATTTTCTGTTTGTATTTTAAAGAGACCAAAAAAATAAATATGGATGGTCATTAAAACTTTGCTAAAACAACGAAGTTGGTGGTGGGCTAAGACTTTTGCATAGTACTGTACATATACACAGACACACACACACAGAGAGAGAGAAGGTGGCAGTAATGGCAGCCACCTTCCCTGGCGAATTTGCTTTGAAAAAGTCTCAGTAATATTATACACACATGCCATACTACTGTATGAAGGAATATATTGAAACACCACTGGGACAAAAATAGTAGAAACCTCCTGGTGAGGTGGAAATGTTTTGCAGTTACACTGCTGGCTGGTAAAATTATTCGCTAATGGCTATGTGTCACGTGACTGGAAATATATGCTCCAATGCAACTGGGGGTAACTGGGCAACGTTTGGCTGGTGTGACCATGGCCATTGTAAGCTTGAAATGGAACAAAAGACCAGAGATGCTTGTAACTGCCACCTCCAAGTTGGGTAAGGGGAGGGCAGAGGACAGTGTTAGAGAAGTATTTGAGAGAAATGACAAGGGCCATCTTGAAGTTTCAAATATTACTGAACAGAACATTTGTTTTTTGTTTTTTTAAAAAAAAATGAAACTGGGCTCAGAAAAAGAAAAGCCATCTTACTAAACCTTTTGGTTTCCCAAGTCCAAACTTGAATGGGGTCCAGAACACTAACTTTATCTCCAGAAGGATAGGGGCTGCCACAGCATGTCTGCTGTTCTTTTCTATTTCACTGGAATTGGACCAAAACTGGCATTGGAAGGGGCTATGGAAAGAACTCCTTCCATTTAGCCTGAATTTTTACTGCATGGTATCCTGGAGGATATGTGGAGGTGGAATGTCCCTTGCAACTGTCCTCACAAAGGTCACCTCTTTGATACTGTACTTTGCAAATGAAAAGCCTGTTGATACCAACAAAGGCTTTCCTTGGACAGCAAGCAGTAACTTCACAGCAGTGATGCTTGTTGCAGGGTGACAAAGAGTCCAATTTGGTCTCTTCTCAATCTCAATCCAGTGTAAATTCTGCTCTTGCTTCCCTTCAGTTGTTATTATTAGTATTTATTTAAAGTGCATGTTAATTGCATCCTTGTAATGTTAATGGCATCCATATCTAGTGTTGCCCTTATTATTGCTGGGTTTCAGGTGCCTACTTGTGCTCCTGTTTATTACAGAGTGGCTATTTGTTACACAATACGAAATGTGTTTATCATTTTCAAGATATGTATGACCTGGTGTTCAACCTGGAACTAGGGCAGAAAACTCTGGGCAGATGAACTGCCAAGCACCTTGTAGTATATCAATGATTAAGATGTTTTATATGCATTAAGTTTTGTGGACTGCAGAAGTGGGATGTGGTCAACAAAAGTTTATTCCAGATAAAATCTATTCATCTTTAAGGTGACACAAGACTCAGTTGTTTTTGCTACAACAGACTAACACAGCTGACTGTGGAGGACAGATCTAGTCACATTTAGATTAGGCATCCTTTAGACTCGAGAGACTATGATAACATGCTCTGTATGGAGGACTTGGAACAGTGTCTAGTGTGGCTGAGAAGGCCAATTTGAGAGTGACAATCCCTTCCACACTGAAGACAAATACAATCTGTCCTCTGTCCAGTTCCCTGATTCCGCTGGTTTCAGTATTTTATTTATATTTATTTATTTATTGGACTTATATACCGCCCCATAGCACTACAAGCACTCTCCGGGCAGTTTACAATTTAATTATACAGGCTACACATTGCCCCCCCAGCAAACTGGGTACTCATTTTACCGGCCTCAGAAGGATAGAAGGCTGAGTCAACCTTGAACCGGCTACCTGGGACTTGAACCCCAGGTCGTGAGCACAGTTTTAGCTGCAGTACAGTGTACTGCCTCTTTGCCTCGGCCTGCTGGACAACGGTCTCTTCAAATTGGGAGAGGCCGTGATGCAACGCCTGCCTCCAGGCTGAATGCTCAGATGTCAAGATTTCCCATCTGTTGAGGTCCATTCCTAAGGCCTTCAGATCCCGCTTGCAAATCTCCTCCTCTCACAGCTGTGGTTTCCCTCTGGGGTGATTTCCCTGCACTAATTCTCCATACAGGAGATAAGTCATTATCATGACAATGTAGACATCACTGTTTTAGTAATGTATACACGCTAACAATTCCAGCTCATTCTAGGACTACTCTATTTGGAACTTTCTCCTGCCAGGTGATACCAAAAATGTGTTGGAGACAACGCATATGGAATGTGTTCAGCTTCCTCTCCTGCCGTGTACAAAGGATCCAGGACTCACTGCAGTACAGGAGTGTACTCAGGACACAGGCTCTATAGACCTGGATCTTGGTACTGTATGTGCCGTCAACTTCTTATTAAGCCATACCCTCTTTGTGAGTCTAGAGAACATGGTGGCTGCTTTGCCAATGCGTTTATCCAGCTCGACATCTAGAGAGAGGGTGTCAGAGATGGTTGAGCCGAGGTACACAAAGTCATGAACAACCTCCAATTCTTGTGTGGAGATGGTAATAGAGGGTGAGTCTACGCCCTGGCCCATGACTTGTGTTTTCTTCAGGCTGATTGTTAGTCCAAAGTCTTGGCAGGCCTTGCTGAAATGATTCATGAGTTGTTGAAGGTTTTCAGCAGAGTGGGCAACAATGGCTGCATCTTTGGCGAAGAGGAAGTCCTGCATGCATTTCAGCTGGACTTTGGTCTTTGCTCTCAGTCTAGAGATATTAAAGAACTTTCCATCTGATCTAGTCACATAGTAGCTGCTTTAATCTGATCGCACATGGTCACTGGTATGAAATATCTGCTATCAGTGCAAGGTAAAATATTAGTAAGCTTTGTTCCACATGTGATTAATTTCAGAAAGCAGGTATATCTGCTTTTCACAAAGCAGGTATGTCTACACCAAACTTAGAAAGTTATCCAAGATTCGCTTGTGCAGCATTTTGATATATAGATGTATGTTACTGCATGGCAGGAATGATAAAGCACTTGCATATACTACTACAATACAGAAAAGGCAAAACAAGGCATCAGGAAAGATGGCTTGTCTGACAGGTACAAAGACCAGAAGCAAGGCATGGCTCCACTTTTGACTTGTGTTGTCTTTTTAACTTGCAGGTTCTCTGTTTGATGGAATCATAAAGCATTCCAGGGCATAGATTAAATGTCAAGCATGAGAAAATGGTAAGTTCAAAGGGAGAGTGGCAGGGTGTCAAGGAAAACAGCAGGATGTCAGGTATAAAACATAACCAATTTATACATCAAAATGCTGTGTTTTATCTTGTTGTGTTTTTTTTTGCCAACAGCAATGAAATGGTTGATCCCAAAATAACCAGATAAAGCGGCCTCTGCTCTTTTGAGCCCAACTAGTAGGGGAAAACTCTTATTTTCTAGATGAAACCAGGCTGTGTTTATGCAATCCACTATCTCTTCTTCTGGTTGGGAATGAGGTTTTACATGGCTCAGAGGGTGCTTAATGTTTTCTACAAAAAAAATTAAAAATTAAAAATGAGGCATTTATAATTCAAGAAATCAGGTGAAGCCCTGGAGGCATAGAGAGAAATGGAAGCAGTTCATTACATTGCTTCCTGTTCCTATATACCATCTGAAATCTTTAAGACTTTGGGGCAGAAGAGATGTCATTTAGTCAGTGTGACTTGTCATACAAAGATAAATTACAAAAAAAGTAAATAAATAGACTTATTTAGCAACTCTAGAAAGCACCATTTCTTTTCCAATGGACCTTGGCAAGTTGGAGCAGAACTGGCACAATTATGGTATGTGTCCAGAGAACATAAAGAATATATAAATAAAAGTAAAAATGGGCAACATAATTTTAATGCGTATTTTAATGTATATTTAATTATAATGCTTTAAACTACAGGGAGTAAACTCTTTACATTTTTAACAGTATGTCTGTTTTGGTTCGTCCACATCTAGATTTTTAAAAAGTTCCAGTTTTAGAATGATGATGTAGAAAGCTGATTATATATTGGTCATTTGCATGTGTCTCTATTATTGGATTTCTATGGCTATTCATTAGAACCTGTGCTTATTAACAAATTAAGTGTCAAGAGCTATCAAAGCATTATGTCAGTCATCAATACTGATAGGTATTCTGCTTCATTTCATTTTCTTCCTAAAAATGGGTGAGGGAAGCAGATTAACTTTTTTTTGAAATAACTTTTAGACTGATAGCACAGGCATTACCTGCCTATCATGTAAGAATCCCTACAATATTTACAGCCTCGGCTTTTTATATTTTACTATCTTCATATTTGTTGCCTTAAAAACCTAAGTCCAAACATATATTCAATATTAGCCTTTCTTTGTGCATATAGTCTTTCTTCAGTCTAAAATGGAGACTGCAGCCAAAATATCAGAAGATAAAGATTTGGAAGGGTAGTTATGACAGAACCAAAAACAATCCTTAAATACGAAGCTGTGTTGCTGGTGATAAAGGCTAACATTATTGATAGTATGGCATTCCCAGTTTCTATTTGAAAATGTTATACTGAGGAAAGCAAATCAGACAGTTAATCACAACTTTTTTGTAAAAAATGAGTAAACGGAGACTACAGTACAAGACTCACTGGAAGAGATAATAATGCCAGGAAAAGTTGAAGGCAGGAGGAAAAAGAATGACTGAACATTAGATGAATTGACACCATAAAGGAAGCTATGCCTTTTAGTTTGCAAGA